CTTCCTACACACTCTGTGCAAGTTTGTTGTTGTTGGGTGCCTTCAAGTCATTTCCAACTTATGGCAATCCTAATCCTTTTTCTTTGCAAGATTTGTTCAGAAGAGGCTTGCAATTGCCTCCCCTGAGGCTGAGAGAGTGTGACTTGTCCAAGGTTGCCCAGTGAGTTTCATGTCTAAGTTGGGAATCAAACCCTGGCCTCCAGAGTTATAGTCCAGTGTTCAAACCACTATGCTACCCTGACTCTCCTGTTTAGAGGCTTTCAATATTGTGCAAGTTAATTCATTTTACCTTAACTTCCAGGATTCCACGGTGCATTACTATCTATTTACAGCATTTATCTGTTTTATATTTGCATTTTCTCCCAAGATTAAGTGGACATTAAGTTGTGCTGAAGCTAACAGCAAAGGTGGTCATTTCTGAGGCTCCAAAATGAGGCTTCCCAAACAAATTTTTGCATTCTGTTTTTTAGGAAAAGGCATTTATTTGCCCATGCACTGAGCCTGGTGTTATCTTTCTGGACTACAACTCCCAAAATCCCTTAGCCAGCACAGCCAGTGGCTAAGCTGGCAAGGGGATTCTCTGAACTGTAATCCAAAAAAGTAAGTTTCCCTTCTGCTTTCAGTTTTGTTGTAAGGTAAACAAACATTCATAAAGTAACAGAAGATGAAAGCTGAGATTTATGTATTGCTGTAACACTGGGCCAGTTGTAACTTTTTGGATACAAGGTTACTTTAGCAAACTAAAGCAAAGAGGGACTCATCCAAAAGGCCAGAGTACATGACCCAAAATCAAACCAGTGCAATTTTTAACCCATCGCTGCATGTCTAGGCTTGAAGAAACACCACTTGTTGAAATTTAATCTGCAATTCAACTGTTAAAATGCCCAAAAGCCCAGAGGAAGAAAAGAGAAGAAAACCTGCAGAGACCTGGCACCCTTGAACTTAGCAGAACAAACAAAATTCCACAATGCCTCTCAGAAATACTGGTTTGACCTACATCTGTAAATCCATAGGGTGGTTTTCTTTTTTTTCCCCAGAGGGAGCAGTTAAATGTCAATTTTAAAACCTGGATTTCAAAAAATAGGAACCAAAAAAGTAGGAGAGGGAAGGACAAAACTCCCACAGCTTTGTATGAATACCTTTTTGCAGGGAAAGAATGCAAACGAAATATTTTCAAATACTAAACACAGAGGAACCCATCTTTTTTTTTCTCAAGTTAAAGAATTTGGCACTTTTAAACACACACAATGTTCTCATTCTGAAGTTATCCAATCTTTGAGACCAAAGCAAACTTAAAAAAAAAAAAACAACGGCACATTCACAAGTTGAAACAACACTTTGTGAGTTACTTATGAAGGGTCAAGATATTGGCCAAGGAACTACAGTCATCGACAATTTGGGTGGTGTTTTTTTTTAAAGCTCCCTTATCTATCAAAACCTTGGATTTTCCTAACAGCCATTCTATCTTAACTACTTCATTGCTTTTATCAGCTTGCCCAGAAACTTTCTGTCTTTCAAAACACATTGTTCTCAGCTGCATACTTTCCAGAGATAACACTGTGTAAACCAAAAATGCCATTCTCTTGCAGAGAGAACTGCAAATAAAATAAAATAAAATAAAATAAAATAAAATAAAATAAAATAAAATAAAACTGTAAAGAGGTGAGTCTTCTCTTACCAAGGCAGACCAAAGTTTCAAGACAGCTTCTGGGGATAAAGCAAATTCCATTTCTCCCAAACCAAACTGTCTTCTATGGAGAAGAAACCACCTCCCCACATCAAGAATTAAGGAACTAAAATGGCGTTACGGCTTTTTCTTTTCAAAAGAGAAGAAAAACAGGCTTTTGGAGAGAAGCTGGGCAAAGATCAGATTGCATGAGGCTGGAACCCATTCAATTTAAACAAGAATCTTCAGAAAAGGAGGGGCCTGAAACACAGGCTAGCCTTAAAGGCTGCAACTCTGTGCGCCTTTACCTGGGAGTAAGTTCTCTAGAAATCAAGGGGGCTTTCCCCCCATGCCAAGTGTAGTACAGGATCAACACTTGCAAAAATAAAAAGAGCATGTCCTCCATTCAGATCTATGCAAGGCACACAGGGGTTGTGTAATTTGCAATCACACTGTGCCAGAAACCACAGTTCAGCAAATGGCTGCGTAGTTCATTGGAAACCCCTGCAGTCTACTTTAAATTATCATGTCATCTCCAAAGCCTCCCAACTTCCATTCATAGCTCTTTTATCCACAATCAACAAACAGATCAAAACCTGAACTAGCTGTCCGATTCGGCGCAAACATTTCCAACCAACTGTTTCAAAGAAACAATTTGCATGCGAAATTTCCCCCTGAAAATTATGCATTTCCCCCCAAAGCACTGTTTATCACACAGAGGCAGTCTCCAAATTCTGTACAGAAATGGGATTGAAAACCCCATGAAAAAAAACCTGCAAAAGTGGGCTGATTTTCAGACAATGAGCAATAAAGCGACAATAACCCAGAGAGAAAGGCGACAAAACACACTTTTTTATTGTCGGAAAATCCTGAAAGTAAAAAGAAGCATGTTTTGTCGCCTTGCTGTCTGGGTTCATATCGTGTTATTGCTCACTACCATGTATTCCATTAACTGTCTTCTCATTAATCCCAACATCATCTGAAAATCAACCCACTTTTGCGGGGTTTTTTCCACTTTCTGTTTGGATTAATTTCAGATGTTTTCTGAAAAACAATCTGGTTTTGCGGATTTTCCCACCTAGTTTAAATCCTGTTTTTGCACAGGATCCCACCTGTGCCTCTGACCATTTTATTTAGGGTGCAAGTTCCCTGTAGAGATATTGCAGTTTGACACCATTTGAATTGCCATGGTCCCACCCTACATAATCCTGGGATCTGTAGTTTTGTGAGCTTTAATTTTGCCACCTTCTAACACCTTATATATTGTTTGTTCTTGGATGTGTGCATGAGATGTTGTCTTTGCATGAATGGAGACTTCCTTCCGATCGATAAATAAAGCTAATTTAAACCTTGCATTCTGGAGTTTTATCTTTTTGAACTGATATACACAGGCTAGATCCCTTGTGCTTGAGCCCTATCACTGCTTTCAATTGAGATAACAAAATTCTCCATTGTAGATTAAATTGTGGGTGCCATCTTAGGACCCTGAAATTTGGTTAACAGCTGAATTGTTACTCCAAGATCCATCCTCCTTTCTGATATAAAAGGGACAGTAACAACAACAGAAGCACCAGCATTCAGTGGCAGAGAAGTAAAACTACAAATCCCAGGAATCCATAAGACAGGACTATAACACTTAAAGTGGTGAGGACAGTAACAACAACAGAGGCACCAGCAATCAGTGGCAGAGAAGTAAAACTACAAATCCCAGGAATCCATTAGACGGGGCTATAACACTTAAAGTGGTGAGGACAGTAACAACAACAGAGGCACCAGCAATCAGTGGCAGAGAAGTAAAACTACAAATCCCAGGAATCCATTAGATGGGGCTATAACACTTAAAGTGGTAAGGACAGTAACAACAACAGAGGCACCAGTAATCTTTGGCAGAGAAATAAAACTACAAATCCCAGGATTCCATAAGATGGAGCTATATCCTAGGCATAAACAACTGGTTGAAATTTGTCAACTGATACTAGGATTCTGCGAGAAAATCGCCGTAAGCTTCAACTTGAAGGTTCATAACAACAACACAGAGAAAAGACAACTTGTTTTCCTAACACCTCTTTCTTTTATGAGCGTTGGATGCAATTTAACATGATCATCAAAGTCTACTAAGATTAATTTACATATTTCCTCTTTTGTGGCTGTTTTGCTGAAAGCATTTATCTTTCATATTTACTGACTTTTTATGATACAATTGTTTTGCTACAGTGGTTCTTTCCAATTATGATATTGTATTAGTAGTACTATGTAAGCTATTGTATTTATTGGAAAGGTGCTGTATTGTTATAGTCAGCTCCTTGCCGTCTTTCCATTGGGAAACAAAGACCTTTCTATTTCCAACAGATTATCGTCAATAGACTGGTTTTAAGGAAGTGCATTACATAGAGTGCTGTTTTATATTTCAGAAATTTTTCTTTTGCAGTTGTAATTAATGTTTAACCTTGCTTTTTTAATATTTCTGATCGTGTCAATACATTTTAATGTCAAGCTTTTGTATGCTTTCATCTTTGTTTTGAATGGCAAATGGCCCTGAGAGCTGTTTCCAGGGTGAAAGATGAGATGTAAATAAAGTGAATGAAAGATTGTACAGTTGGCCCTCTGTATCCATGGATTTTGCATCCATGGATTCAACCATCCATAGCTCTAAAATATTAAAAAAATTAAATTCCAAAACCCAAACCTTGCTTTTGCCATTTTATATAAGGATCCCATTTTACTATTCCACTGTATATAATTGGATTTGACCATCCATGGATTTTGGTATCCACATGGTGCCCTGGAACCAAACCCCATGGGATCCCAAGGGACCACTGTACACATGTAAAGATGTGAATATTGTATTTATTTCATGTATAGATGATGACTGCATGAGTACAGTATAAACATGCATATGTGTTTCTCTAAGTATGTATATTCAAAAATAAAATTATTGTTGGAATCCAATATGAGCGTTGCGTACGACATAGCACCATACTAATGTTGTTACGGAGTGAATTCTGGTGTGACACTCTACCAAAAAAAATAATAAAACCAGCTTACTGGTAAGCAGCCACTGGGATCAGAAAGGAGAAAGGAAATCCACTGGGATCAAGTAGCAGCTGACATTCCCACCAAAAGCAATCTCTGGTGTGACAGGTATAAGGACCCATTCTGCCAATCCCTTTTGCACTGAAGCGAGGGGTAGGAGACAACATCAGGCATCTGCTTTCTGTTTGATAGAGGAATTCGTCTTATCACAGAGGCTGCTTACCAGTAGGTGAGGTTTAGGAGACTTTCACAATTCCTACATAGCCCATAAACTAGGGACTGCATAGGGATTGTGAATATGTACCAGTTGTGAACACATAACTATTGGTAACCTATTTGCAATGGACCAATGTGATTGCGGCCATTGGACTCAACTCTCGTTGATAATTCTACCTATTTCAGGTCCTAGTTTAGGTAGGACTAGCAACAGAATTGAGTCCAATGGCCACAATCACGTTGGTCCATTGAAAATAGGTCACCAATAGTTATGTGTTTCCATTGAATCAATGCGATTGACCTATGTGTTGACTTCCCATTCAACAG